GTACGTATAGCTTTACGAAACTTCAAAGAACCAACCATTCCAATTAAGAAATAAATTAATAGCTTAACATATTTTCTCTACACTTTAATAAATTATAGGTTTACCGTTGGTGTCACGGGCTGCTTTTTTCGGTGACCTTCGAAAATATAACGTGATAATGTCATGCGATTAGCTCCCTGGCTCAAAGGATGTTAGGAATATTACACAACTAGAAATTCTTTGGTTGTCCGATTGGACAACTAGCCAAGAGAATAACTTGTCCGACATGGACTTTTACTTGCCCCGGGCAATCGGACAACTGTTAGAGTCAAGGGCTGGAATGCTTTTATATGATTATCACATCAATATCATTTTACTGTCTAAAATAGCTGGAATGTAATCTTGAACAGAACAAGAAACTATATATCTTCATTTTCAACAGAAAGTCAGCGAGACAGTAGTTGTGCTCCGAGCAGCCAGGATCCAGGGGTACACTTGTACGAGCCTCGGAAGTGCATGTGGAATGTCGTTTCTTTTGAGACTCTCATCTGTGGTGATCTGCGATGACAGAAGATGGTTGGCACTGCTGAACACTTCAACTTTTTCTTCCCATCAACTCATCCTATTTCAAATTGATGGTCATCAAATTGTTTCTGCAAGCAGAGAGAGGGAGATAAAAACAGTCAACATAGAATAAATACATGTAATTCCATGTACACAAATTTCAGTAATTCATTATTCATTATGTGACCTCTTTTTCTCAATCAATATTTGGTAAAAATTTTGAAAAGGGTAGGTCACACATTAAACTGGCGAATTTCTACACAATTACATTAATTTAACCCACACACACACCAATATGTCTAGATATCTACTATGGACAATGGACAGTCGTCTGCATTACTTAGTATTAGTTTACTTAGTAAATTTGGCCCAAGGATACAAGAGCTGTCTACATTTGCACATTTGTACATGTCGCATTATCTTATGTTATATGTTTATTCTTTTCAACAGAAAAATTAAACAGGGTGGGTTTTCTTTTTTTCTTAAACAAAAATTAGCACAGACGTATTCGTATAATTCTACACTTCAAATTTCACACAATAATTAGATAGAATTAGAAGTATATGACTCTAACACATGCTTCTTATGGAAACTGTTATTGTGCCCTGCCCGCCTAAAATGTCCAAATTTACTAATAATATAATCTTGACATGACTACACACACTGTACTTACCTCACACAGACGCGATGACGAGGTCGGTTTCCATCCTTCGCGACTGACTTTACTCACCCAAATTTTTCTCCTTCTTGGATCTGCAGGATCCTATACGTTTTGTATCCCTGCTCTAATCTATTACTGCACCCAAAGGCGCAGCAACCAGTCATAATGACAATTTATTTTCCATACTAATAGCAGAAAAGTACGGAATACGCTCACGGAAAATGAAAAGCTGCTGCTTAGGTGGAACCAAAATGGCTCCTTAGTCCTTGCGTCACGTGACCTGATTTTCGCGGTGTCCCGTAGAGTTTGGACGCTCGCCCGAAACTGGATGCTCATAAATGCGCATGCGTGCATGCTCTTGTTTTTCTCTTGTTTACTTTTTGTTTGACTCTTTATTTGCAGGGCCGTAGGAAATAGTAGCCGTGCTCTTTTGTTTTCTTTTTTTTTCGCCTTGTAACCTGACACACATAACACAGTCTTACTAACTTACTACATTGCAAATTGTTTCAATGAAATGTTTCCATGAGTGACCGGGTTGGCCGCCATGTTCGTTTATTGCGACCGTTTTCGATGGACGAGATGCGCAGATGACTATACTGCGCATGCGCCCTTGCAAAACAAGAGGTGCCTGCGCGCATGCGCACTTAGGAGTGTCCAGTTTCGGACGAGCGTCCAAACTCTACAGTACAGCGTGACGCTCATGTCGCAACTCTCTATATTAAGGGACTCTAAGAAGACCTATCGGCACTAGTAACAGAGATTATAGCTAAGACATGTGTCTATGTGTAACTAGATTTCTAGGAATGTAACTCAAATCGTTCGCGCCATATGATAAACTTTCTTACCGCCCATAGCCATACAGCCATACCGCCATACCGCCAAACTTTCTTACCGCCCATAGCCGTGCGTATATTAGTCTATGTGCGATACCGCGGGTAGATATTTTCTAATTATTTAAACCACTCGCGCTTCAATAAACTCAAGAATCACAGAGATCATAGATAACACGTGTTTATATGTATCTAGATTTCTAGAAACGTAACTCAACTCGTTCGCGCCATATGTTAGTTAGTACACTTTCCTACCGGCCATAGCCGCGTGTGTACAGCACTGTATGGATACGCGGTGAAATTATGGAAGATGCCAGCCAATAAAAAATTAAAAAAACAGTATTTAACCATCCCAGCAACATCTAATAAAATATACAATTTGAAATATTTTTTATTAATATATGAGACATATATAGCAGTTTTTATAGACATTTTCGCATTATAGCTTCTAATAAACATAGCCTCCCGATGTCACAGACTAGTATAATCACATATTTTGTCAAACAGCTATACATGTATTACATTCTATACACTATTATACTACAGTACACTCACGAAAATATAAAATTATGCAGGCACACGTACACGCACATACTTACACATCAGACACTGCACACATAAACAACCCAACGCACGCTCAAACACAAACAGACACAATCTCACATAGTATACACAAGCATACACAATACATACATATGCACAAACTATGTAACCAGACATGCCATTTTGCACTCTTTACACATATACAGGCACTAAAGCACACACGCAAACATATGCCATCCAAAAAAACATTTCTTCATCCCGCACATCTACAAGTAATAGCAAAAATTCAACGATTTAAGGGAACTGAAAACAATCAAATACATGTAGTTCTGTAATGATAATAAATTTATATTCTCTCAAAGCCTTCTTGCTGAGATCAACCACGTACAAACTCAAGCATATAAGATAAACTCACTCATATAGGCATTTGCTCATAATCATAACATGTTTTTTAACTATAACATTGCTAGTGTCATGCATTCACATCATATTTTAAAAAGTGGACCTTTCATACGTGAAAGAATGACAAATGGGATATTTCGATATCAAAACCTGGTGACCTCTCAGGCTACTAAAATTTGAAGGAAAAACAAATTCCGTTTTAGCAAGCATTTTATGTAAAATGATATGGATACTGTACATTCAATGGATCACTTCAATTCTTTGAGGTAATAACTGGCTGTAGTACGTATAGCTTTACGAAACTTCAAAGAACCAACCATTCCAATTAAGAAATAAATTAATAGCTTAACATATTTTCTCTACACTTTAATAAATTATAGGTTTACCGTTGGTGTCACGGGCTGCTTTTTTCGGTGACCTTCGAAAATATAACGTGATAATGTCATGCGATTAGCTCCCTGGCTCAAAGGATGTTAGGAATATTACACAACTAGAAATTCTTTGGTTGTCCGATTGGACAACTAGCCAAGAGAATAACTTGTCCGACATGGACTTTTACTTGCCCCGGGCAATCGGACAACTGTTAGAGTCAAGGGCTGGAATGCTTTTATATGATTATCACATCAATATCATTTTACTGTCTAAAATAGCTGGAATGTAATCTTGAACAGAACAAGAAACTATATATCTTCATTTTCAACAGAAAGTCAGCGAGACAGTAGTTGTGCTCCGAGCAGCCAGGATCCAGGGGTACACTTGTACGAGCCTCGGAAGTGCATGTGGAATGTCGTTTCTTTTGAGACTCTCATCTGTGGTGATCTGCGATGACAGAAGATGGTTGGCACTGCTGAACACTTCAACTTTTTCTTCCCATCAACTCATCCTATTTCAAATTGATGGTCATCAAATTGTTTCTGCAAGCAGAGAGAGGGAGATAAAAACAGTCAACATAGAATAAATACATGTAATTCCCTGTACACAAATTTCAGTAATTCATTATTCATTATGTTACCTTTTTTTCTCAATCAATATTTGGTAAAAATTTTGAAAAGGGTAGGTCACACATTAAACTGGCGGATTTATACACAATTACATTAATTTAACCCACACACACACCAATATGTCTAGGTATCTACTATGGACAATGGACAGTCGTCTGCATTACTCAGTTGTAGTTTACTTAGTAAATTTGGCCCAAGGATACAAGAGCTGTCCACATTTGCACATTTGTACATGTCACATTATCTTTTGTTTAAATATATGTTTATTCTTTTCAACAGAAAAATTAAACAGGGTGGGGATTCTTTTCTTCTTAAACAAACATTAGCACTGACGTATTCGTATAGATCTTAACTTCAAATTTCACACAATAATTAGATAGAATTAGAAGTCTATGTCTCTAACACATGCTGCTTATGGAAACTGTTATTGTGCCCTGCCCGCCTAGAATGTCCAAATTTATTAATGATATTATAATTTTGACATGACTACAAACACTGTACTTACCTCACACAGACGCGGTGGTTGACGAGGTCGGTTTCCATCCTTCGCGACTGACTTTACTCACCCAAATTTTTCTCCTTTTGGGATTTGCAGGGAACCTATACGTTTTGTATACCTGCTCTGATCTATTACTGCACCCAAAGGCGCAGCAACTAGTCATAATGACAATTTATTTTACATACTAATAGCAGAAAAGTACGGAATACGCTCACGGAAAATGAAAAGCTGCTGCTTAAGTGGAACCAAAATGGCTCCTTGCGTCACGTGACCTGATTTTCGCGGTGTCCCGTAGAGTTTGGACGCTCGCCCGAAACTGGACGCTCCTAAGTGCGCATGCTCGTTTTTCTCTTGTTTTCTTTTTGTTTGACTCTTGTTTTGCAGGGTCATAGGAAATAGTAGCCATGCTCTTTTGTTTTCTTTTGGTTTTGCCTTGTAACCTGACACACATAACACAGTCTTACTAACTTACTACATTGCAAATTGTTTCAATGAATGTTTCCATTAGTGACCGGGTTGGCCGCCATGTTTGTTTATTGCGACCGTTTTTGTTGGACGAGATGCGCAGATGACTACTGCGCATGCGCCCTTGCAAAACAAGAGGTGCATGCGCACTTAGAAGCGTCTAGTTTCGGGCGAGCGTCCAAATTCTACAGTACAGCGTGACGCTCATGTCGCAACTCTCTATATTAAGGGACTCTAAGAAGACCTATCGGCACTAGTTCTACGATTACATACAAACGTTCGTTTGCCAAACTAGTTCGAAAATTGCATGTTTTGGTGA